CTGCTATTTCTGCGAGCTCTGACCTTTCAGCCAATACCTCTGTTGCTTCTTCCAATGCAGACTGTCTAGATGTGCTCACATGGCTGCTTGCACAAAAGCCGAGAAATCATTGTCAGGAGACAGCCTGTCTCTTCCTGTGTGTGCTGATCCAATTAAGCTACCCACCCAGTGCAAGGTTTCTACACCAACTACATGGGGTGGGGCATGCTCCTCCCTGGGCCATCTTTCCCACATAATCTTCCCTCATTCCTGCTATTTTCTCAAGTCTGGCTTCTTCCTGGATCCCACTTGTCCTCACATCCACCGCTCCATTTGACTGCTCCGCCACACTTCTCTCCTGCAAGTCTCCATCTAGGAGCTTTACCTATGGAAAAGTGGGAAAGGAGGCAATACTCTCCACTTCCTGGTGTCATGATGGAGGCTGTTGGTGTGTTAGGTTGTTCAGCACTCAAGTTACCTGAAGGCTCTTCCTTCTTGCTATGTAGGTTAGCAACCAGAACAGAACGAGATTGGATTGTGGGTTCTCAGAGACATCACAAAAAATGGGGTTCCTGCTATGCCATTGCTATGACTTCTGGTTCTGATATCCATAACTGTCAGAGCCTCTAACAGCTCTTCACTTCAGGGCCTCTGCTATAGCCCCTTCCTTCACTCTAGGACCTCCCTCAGTTACACTGCATTTGGAAGCGCTAGCCCAGGTAGAAGTCAAGATGGCCCTGGGGAGCCACCCTTTTGCCTTGTTCTCCACGATTCTGTGCTTTTAAAGATACCTGTGGTGGCAGTGACCATCTGGAACCTCTTTGTTTAGGTGTCTTTTCAAGATTCAGACTGCATGATTCTTTTCTCCAGGAAGTCATCCTTGATTATTTTACCTAAGTATAGTTTCTTTCTGAGACTTAAATCTCTTTATGTTTCATGTAGCACCTAGTTCTGACTGCTTTTCCATTATGGCTACCTTTTCCAGATGGCCAGCCCCTGAGAGCCTATACCACATCTCCTTCATCTCTTCCTTAAAGACATTGCCTAGCACATAGGAAATACTCGGTAAATGTTTGTCAGGTGCCTGAATCAGTGTCTGCATAAACAGATGTTCCTTGTGTACTCTGGAAATCAGGCAGAGAGAGGGACTTTGCTAACACAACTGCAGAGCTGTGTTTGATTCTCTGAACAGTGCTGGCTGTTCCTTTGGTGTCTGTTGTTACTGCCTCAGGACCCTGTTAGCCACCAGCAGGCATCCTATCAGGGTTTCCTGACTGGCTGTTGGACTTGCTTCACTCTTCCCAGCCATTTGCTGCTTTCGAATTTGATGTCACTTGTTTACCTTGAGCTTTCAGGTTGAAGGCCAGGAACTATTCCTCTGACTCGAGGTCATGTTCCATAGGGACTTCAGTGCCCACTAACAGGAGTTATGCAAATGTCTGGTGCTTTCCTGGTCTGAAAGTATCTTCTTGATAATGGCTTGACATTCAGACTCTGAGGGGGCTCTTTATCATCATCATCTTCTTGGATTGTTCTCTTCCCTTGTCATGGACATATCACTCTAAATGTCACCACTTTTCAAGGTCCCCTGAAGACCATGTATGTAGAAGGCATTTTTTCTACAGCAGCTGTGCTGTTTATAAGCACAGGGGATTCAGTGGTGCAGTATTTTTTAATAAATGCACCTGAAGAATAGCTTCCCATAACCTGACTCTTCCTTCCCCAAGATATCTTTGTAAACTATCATCCTACCAGGTCATTTGACTCTAGTCTTCGTACAGGATTTCCTGGTGCAAAGTCAGGCAATGGAGGGAGATAGCTCCAACTTCAGGCCCCAGCTACTCATATTAAAGGTGGATGGAAGGCAGAAGATGGGAAGATGATGGCAACCTTCTCAATTTGTATGTTTTCATCAGTGTGAGACAATGTATGCTGAAGGATCAAAACACACCAGCAGCTGGCCTTGCTGTCCGATTCATTGTTCGCTGCTGCACATCGTAGGAGGCAGCAGTTTCCTCTCTGACAACAGAATCCTTCACCAGCTGCCTCCAAGCTTCACACAACATCGCTGGGAGGCTTGTACTGTTGCGCTGTCCTTGTCTCTTTGCCCACTTGTTTCTGCCTGGGAACATAACTGACTACTGATTAGGGTCCCCATGGTTGTCATTGAGTCTACCCTGTAGGAGATTCGAAGGATTTGGGGCGAAATACTACTGTTTTCCAATGTTATATAAGCTCTTCTCTCAAATGCACTCAGTTCCCTCCATCCAGCCTCTGAGACCCACACTGAGCTGCACTGTTCCTGGTGTGGAGAGCGACAGACCAAAATAAGACAGTGAGTGTCCTTGGGGCTCCCAGGACACAATAGTATGTTTCCATCCTCATTTGAAAGCCAGTCAGTGGGCGCTCTGGCAAGAGTGCTGATCTTTGTGACTCAAGAGTGAGGTGGTGGGGCTGGGAATTAGAGAAGGAAACAAGTGAAACTCTTTTATTCCAAAAAGAGATAAGTGCCATTAGTAGGATAGTTTATTTCTTACTGTGACTGAAAGGAAAGGGTATCCTGCCATGTTGGGTAGGGATGATACACAGAATGGGCCATGGGGCAGAGAGAGAAGAGACAACTAGGGGCCAAGGCTTCACTGTGGTAAATAGGACGGGTAGGGTAAGCAGGCTCAGGATTAGTAGTTTAAATTAGTTCAGTCTTGAAGACATTAAGCCAGGTAAACACTAATGTGAGGACCTACAGTAAAGGAAATGGTTAAGATATGAACTTCATGTTAGAGTTGCTTGTGGAGGATGTACTCCCAAAGTGTTTTGCCTCTCTAGGAACTGGCTAGCCCTTGGAGGGGTAGTCCTTCCCAGGTGAGCCAGGTCTCTGACATCCAAGAATCAGGTTACAGAAGATAAAGCACACAGCTAATTAACACACTTGTTTGTTGTCCTAATACATGTCATTCGTGACTTTTCTTTGGCTGCAAAGCTGGTAGCCAAGTGTCTCATTTGTGGGCAGTGCTGTGCTGTCCAGATCTGTCAACTGCTCCACGAAATATGCACTGCAGCACATCACCCTCCCCAGGGTTTCCCATGAGTGTTACAAAAGTGACATTACTGGATCTTTGTCATTCCTGTTCCCTACTATATTGCTAACATGTTTTTAGTACTGCCTGTTCTGTCCACTCCTCTGTTTTGAAGTTTACACACACACACACACACACACACACACACACACACACACACACACATTTGAGAGGCAGAGAGACAGGGACAGAAAGAGCCCTTGACCTTTGGTTGACTTCCCTAAATGCCCAAATAGGTTTGGTTGGGCCAGGCCAAAGCGGGAGCCAGAGAATCAACCTTGGTCCCCAATATGGGTGGAAGAGACCTAAATACCTAAATTGGCACTGCTGCTTCGCAAGGTGCACATTATCAAGATGTTGAAATTGAGGATGGAGTCAAGAAGCAAATCCAGGTGCCTTTGTATGGAGTGTGTAAGTTCCAACTGACATCTCAACCTCTTGGCCAAATGCATAGCCTGTGAAAATTTCTCATTGGTGGTGGTAATGGTGATTAGGATCCACACATAGAAATATCTGGGAGTGGCATTTAGAAAGTAGTTCGAGAGTGCTGTTTCTTCTCAGCTACTCAAATGCTATTTCTACCCTAAAGTACAAATAAAACCTCTCCTGAGGCCTTCCATCTAGATTTATTTCCCCCTTGTTTCCTTAGATTTTTTTGTGTATCTTCCAAGTTTAAACTAAGGAGCATTGTCTTGGGCCACCCAGGGTGTGTAAGGTTTGTTACTTCTTACTGTGCACTCCTGAAGGTCGGCATCTTCCCTTTTCGTGTCATAAACTCCTGAAAACCTAACACTGTTGAGAAGCAAATTGAATAGGAATTGTTGGATCAGCCATACTGAGAATGGCCCCATGAGACAGTTAAAGCAATGCTGGATGGGCTAGAATACCTGTATCTCCTGGATTATTCAGCTGATTTGATGTTCAGTTCTCACATCCTGCAAAGTGAGGATGTTTACAGACAGGACCTGAAAGTCTGAATTGAACAGCAGGAACTTTTCCTCCCCTGTTGGAGAGTTTACCTTCTAAACTCTGATTGTTCAGTTTCCATTGTGGAGTTCACAATGTGCTGTATATGTCAGATTTTCAGCCTTGGTGATCATGGAAATGAAGGGTGTTTGCTAAAAGTTTTAGTGACTTGTTTTCCCTCATACTTATCCTTTCCCTGACATTCTTCTCAGTGGACAGACTACTTTGCACAAAAAAAGAAAAGAGAGCATTGTCACCTGCCAAGAATGTTCTTTGCTGGCCAGCTCGTGCATCAGCAAGGGGCTCATCTTCAGTGTTCAGCTCTGATTTCAGACTCCCATGTTCCCCAGGCTAATTATGTCACCATCTCCAGGTGTTATTATGGCCCAGTTAATGTGGAAATGGCTATGGCAAGCTGGGAGGAAAGAAAACACAATGGGTAGTCCTAACGCTCTCCCACAAGCCCTTGGCACCCAGTGGATGTTTATGGATGGGTTGTATTTATAGCCATCATGGAGAGTGGAACAGAGGAAAGTGGCTAAAACTGCATGGAGAGTTCATAGGTGCAGCTCATCTGTTCTGGGAGGTTAAGGCACCTGTCTGCCTGATGTGAGATAGAGCTCTTCGGGGAACAGTCATCTTCCCTGGTGGCAACCAGGGTTTATGATGACTTTTTTTTTTGAGGACTGTGTTCTTTATTTCTGTGTAGTTATCTGTGACATGCCAACTTGTCTAGTATGTTGCTTACCTCCATAAAACAAAGAAGTTATATATATTGCACATATCTATTCATATAACAATTAACCTGGCATTTGCACTTACAAGAAAGCCACCCCTGCTTCCCACCCTGCTGAAATGATATTCATTTATCCTAGATATTAGAGAGTTTGGGTTTCAGCCTCAGTTTGGCCAGTCAAAGGGAAAATGTACCTATGATTGAGCATTAACTAATTTTCTTTCTTTTCTTTTCACCCTCAGGATTATACCTTAACCATGTACTTTCAACAATATTGGAGAGATAAAAGGCTTGCCTATTCTGGGATCCCTCTCAACCTCACGCTTGACAATCGCGTGGCCGACCAGCTGTGGGTGCCCGACACCTATTTCTTAAATGACAAAAAGTCGTTTGTACATGGAGTGACAGTGAAAAACCGCATGATCCGCCTTCACCCTGACGGAACGGTGCTGTATGGGCTCAGGTCTGTCTGCCTTTGCAGAGCCAATTTAGTAGTTGCATGGTGTGCTGGCATTGAATTTATCACTTGAACTGATTTTAGTAAGCGAGGCCATGCCCTTAGATTAATCAGGAGACATCCATGAAAGACTGTATCTTTGCAGGAGAAAAAATGTCTCATAACTGTAAGAGCTGGGCATTGCTGTTACTATATATAGTCCTCAAGCAGTGAAAAAATAGCTTCCTTGGATTGATTCTATATAATTGGGCTGTCATTCCCTGAGGACGGATTCCCCATATAACCACAAAGGCCTGTAATTAATATTGTCTTGGCAGTGCAGAAGATTTAATAAAGTTTTTTTTTTAAAGCAATTCTTGCAGTTTAAAAAAAGTGTATTGTGCAGAATATAGGGTGTGGTCTTCAGGCAGTGACATGGATATTTATGGGAATGACTAAGCGAGAGGCTTCCTGATGACAAATCCCTTTCTCTAGGTCTCCTAAGGCAGTCGCTCCAATTGGAAAACGAGACTGTCTTCCTGAGCCAGAAGGAGGAAGTCTGGGCTTCCCTGGTTGCCCTGGCAACCACCAGCTCTTCCCATAGTGTTCTAGCACCACTATGGACTAATTATCTTGAATATTGCCTTAGTAAATGATACTCTTAAAACCTCTATCTTTTTCATTCCTTTTGCATTGATTTTATTTTGTTTCAGAATAGTATTTTGGGTGTGTACAGTCTTTCTCCATTTCCCAACCTAAGTGTCTCCTTGAGGCCTCCTACCAGTGGCTTATTATTATTATTTAGTGCAACACATGTGGCTCAGACAAGATGTATGTTCGAATGTTGTGAGTGCAGAAAATCTTAGTTTTAAGACTCCAACAGTTTTACGTGCAGTCATGACAATAGGCATTTAAATCCACATCTCTGTGACTTTTATGGCTTCGAGATAAGTAAAAAGGAATTATTACTATTGTTATTACTTGAAAGTTTTGACTAACATGTAATATTTGTACACTTGTAGGGGTACGGTATGATATTTCAACACATATGTACAGCATGTGCTGGTCAATCTAGGCTGTTGGCTTTTGCTTTTCTTTATCTTTTTTGTTAGGAGCCTAGCAGTTCATTTCTTCCCTTCTTCATACAATTCCTAACATACCCTTAAATATAAAATGTCAAGTGACTTTCTGAAAACCACAGTAGGTAGAATGAAAGGTGGGCTCCAACAACTTTTTTTAATTGTAGGAAAAAATGGCACATGCCATCCAAGCCTTGGTGTTGCTTTAAAAAGTCTACCCTGAAGGTTCTTGTGAGGTTTGCATCCTGTGATATTTTTGCCTGAAAATGAGAGCTATGGTTGCAAAATTTGGAGGTGCTGACAAATACCACAGCTATACAAAAAAAGTTTTTTGTAAATTTGCAAATATAAAAAGAGCAACCATTTACTTGTCCCATTCCCCACAACAAATTTGAGGTGGAAGAATGTAGTGTGCATGTGCAAGGGTGAGGATGTGTATGCGTGTTTAGCACACGAGAGAGCCAAAAGGTAGAACTGTCATTATCTAGAGGTTGGGATTTTAACCAAAACTTTATATTTAGATCCTCTTCATTGTTTTTTTTGCATATAATATGAAATGTATGATTGTTCTTACATCTTTCTTAAAAGCAAAGAACTTTAACCTTTTTAATAGAATTATGTACCGTGCAAGAAAACATCGCATAATTTCATTTGATATGACTGGATTTAGGGCCATAAACCATAAGAATTACATGGTTAATTCCTGGTGCATAAATTTATAGACATATAAATCTGTAGACACATGGACATACACATAACCATAGAGCAACTTGAACATTTAGACAGGAAGCTGATCAGTTGTTGAAAAAGTTCATTATTTCATTAATGAAAATGCATATTCTATGCAGTTCTTTATAAAATAAAAATCTGTGTCTATATAAGTGATTTTTGATAAAAAAATAATGAAAGCAAACAAGATATTAGTTCTCACATTGTGCTTTAGCTTCTGTGCTTGCCTTTGGGGCCAAGCATCCTTTTCCTCCTGTTTATTTTTCTGTTGTACTTACTGGGTCATTTTGGTGGCGTGGTGTGCCAGTGGTGGAATACATTATCCTAATAATGTGTTTAGGTAAATAAGTACAGAGATACTCCTTGGGTTAATATGGAGTTATGTCCTAATGTGCACATCATGAATTGAATGCATTTAATATACCTGGTCTACTTGGCATCCTTGCTTGACACAGTACGTTGTCAAGTGTTAGTTATTCACTCTCAGGATGATGTACTTGACCAGGAGCCACAGTTTGCTGCTGTCAGCCATCATCATGAGTACGGTACTCATTGCTCACTCATTACTCATATGCTAACTCATTGCTAACAAAAAGAAAAAAAAATCAAGCTTTGAATTATGGTTTCTGCTGAATTCATATCACATTTACACTACTATGAAGTAGATTATCCTAAATTTCAGAATTAATTACAAGTCAGTGATTGTCTGGCTCAGCTGAGAACAGCGGAATTGAACTTACTACAGTAAAGGCGTGTGGAAAACTTCAGACTCTGGAACAATCTGGGGTTGCTGCTGCCTTGCAGCTAAGGAAGGGCTCAGCTAACAGAGGTTACCATCCAGCTGGCTCTCTGCTGAGATGCCAGTCAAACTGACTGTATTTCTGAGTCCTTCAGGTTGCATTTTGCTCACCGTTGAATGCTGAACTTGGCTCTCACTTAGCGAACTTGACCCTCAACTATTTGGTGGTTGCCAATTAATGACTCTGGAGCCCGTTTCCTATACATGCCCCACCATTGCCATTTCAGCATCAGCGAAGGCTTTTGCTTTATCTAGGGTAGATGAACATCTTTGGCTGTGGATGAGGTATCCATGACGCAGGTTGGTGCGTCAGCTTAGCATTATTCTGGGAAATCATTGATCCTAAACTTTGATGACTTTGCAAACCAGCCGATGACTGCTCACAGATGTTTGAAAGTGATCATGTTCTCACAATGATTAAAGATCATTTTAAATGTGAATGATTTTTCTTTATTATTCTCACATGTTGCACTTGAAACTCGGGCTGACTCTAGCTTGCAGCTACTGACCTGCACCTATCAATGGTCTCAGCCAGTTACATAGACAACTCATGCCATGTGAAGTAATACACTGGATAGGGCATGCACACCACCCAAAAATAGAACATGCATTCTTTGAAATTTCCTTGTGGGTAGCCAAACCTTTACAAGGAACTAGGAAAATGCTGACTGCCTAAAAATCTGTTAGCTTGTCCCCATCACTGTGGTTCTGTTTTTCTCTGTACTGTTTTCTGCTGTGAGAAATTGGCATTGTTGTCCCTCTTCTTCTCAACTCACATTTTCAATCTTCTAATCCCTTGTTGTTGTTGAATGTCTTACCTTGTCCTAGTTAGCATACTTTTTCACATGATCTTTTATTGATCTTTCATATCTCTGGGATATTTCTCTGGTGATAGAACTTCACAGTAGATATTGAAAATCAGTATTTGAATTACTCTAAAAAGAACTTAATTTGAGGTTGAGTGATCTCCATAAAAACAGGTTGATTCACACTTTTCTTGAGAAACTTATTGAAAAATTTGAAAGTAATATGTTAAAGGTTAAAGTTGGTAAAGTTAAGTTGTTAAAATGGTCATTACTAAACTTAAAATACATTGGATGCAATATTAAAATGAATCTAACATGTATTTCAGAAAATTCAAATTAAGTCATTTAGTTAGTTTGGCTAGCATCAAAATCTGTAATTTATACGAAAATTTTGTCAAATATCCTTGCCCTGGAACAAAAATAGTCTTATAGAAGAATTAGGGATCAATCATTTGAATGCCTTTTTTGTTACTTTCTCCCAGTAAATTTGATATAACTAAATTGAAGTTTGATAAATTGCTTTTCAGAAGGGATTATGCCAATGTTTGTATTCACAACTTAGTATTTTTAACTTTAGGAATGTGTTACCTGCTCCAGAGTTTGTCATTATTTAGGCCTCTGTAAATGTGTTTTTGTCTCTTAAAGCTGGAGAAAAAGTGACTTTAAATTTAGGCTCTTGCTTTTTCCTATTTCTCTCTCCTTCCATAAACCTTCTTTCTCCCTTATAAGGACTGTTACGCCATCTTTTCAAACTTGTCTAATTATTGTCATTTTACAATTATATCTCATCCTTTAAGTGAAATCAGTCTCTAGTTTGTCTTCGCATTGCAAAGAAACCATCTTGGACATATCTCCATATAGAGTAGGTCCTTGAACCTTTGGAGAGTCAGCTTTCCTGTGGCAACCTCTTCCTGCTGAAGGATTCCACTCCTTTGACTCCAGCTGTTTTATTCACATAGCTGTGACGCACCATCAAAACAGTCCTGAAAATGTGTGTTATGAAAATTGGTTCACAAAAATACTTTGAACCAAAATGAATTTATCTTTAATTTTAATGTTACATGAAATTTTTTGGTGTGCATTCCTGTTCTTCATCTCCCTTCCAATCTGCTAAGATTCACTGTATTCTCCAGCAGTATCAAGGATGTCCCTGGATCGAGACTGTGTCCATCTCTGGGTCTCTGTATTTTAACAGCGTTCTAATTTATTTTTATGGTTGAGTATGCTTCAGTGTTTTCAGTGTAACCCTTACAAAAATAGCGCTTCTCTCATCATCTGCTTGCTCTCTATGGCGTCACCTTGTTGGTTTTTGTCATAGCAATTATCCGGACCTGACATTATCTCATCATTTTATTGCATTTGTTGTTTCGTGAACACCTTCTGCTCTTGGTGATGATGGGAAAGTCATTATTAGAATATAATTTCTCTGAAAAATGTATTCTTTTCTTCTTTTTTCTCCTATCTTCCAAATCTAGAATAATGATGTTAAAGAAAATGTGCCATGTGAGGATTGAATCTGAATTACAGTTTTTCTTTCTGGCATACTTTTATCTTCGTATTTTTCATTTAGATTTTCAGTCCATTGGCATTTATTTTACTTTTTTAAAGACTCAG